CTTCTCCTCCCAGATTTCTCCTCTTATTTATTCTTCCTGCCTGCCAGCCCTGCCTGTCCTTTCTCTTGCTTTGCTTTTGGCTGTTCATCTCTTTATTAGACCATCAGGTGTTTTAGACAGGCCAAGTAACACAGTTTCACAGAGTTAAACAAATGCAACATAAAAGAATGCAATACATCTTTGCATCATTAAACAAATGTTGCACAGCATACACATGTAACACATCTTAAATTAATATTCTACAACATGGCTCCAATTGCCACTGAGGGCTCTGAGGATACCTGGGGTCTGGCTAGCCACTTGGGACCACATTGATGCCTCAGGGGTGAGTGGGCATGCTACTGATGGGGCTGTGCTGATCTGAGGTTGCCACTGTGGCCATGGTGGTGCCTGGGCCCAAGCTGCTGCCTAGGGCCATGTCTGGGTCCATGATCCTGTTGCAGCTGGGGTCTGTGGTGATATCCATGGCTGGTGTTAGCATGAAGATCATTGGAACCATGCTGTGCTGAGCCAGCCCTTCACTGACCCTGGGATGGGTGGTCCTGCCCCTCACTGGATGTTGCAACAGGCAAGCTGGCCCTACCCCTCAGGGGAGAGCTCTCCCCTGCACTTGGGAAAAGTACCCCCACTCCTCACCGTAGGCATACACCTCAACTGGGAAACACACTAGAGCTGACCCTGTTGTTAGGGGTGACAGGTGAGCTAGCCCTGAGGGTGTGAGAGCAACAGAGCCGACCCTCAAACCCCTACCTCAGTCTGCCATGTGGTGGCATGGGTGAGGGAAAGATGCCCTCCCCCCTCCCCCCTTTGCTAGTTGTGACAGGCAAGAGAGCTGGCCCTGGAGTCACGAGAGTGAGAGAACTCACCCTGCCCCACACCAGCTACAGCACACAGGAGAGCAGGTCCTGCACCCCACATGGACAGCACACTAGAGCTTACCCTGTTGTTAGGGTTGCAGGTGAGCCAGCCCTGAGAGCATGAGAGCAGGAGAGCTCACCCTACCCCTACCACCCTCTTATGCCCTCTACAGTAATCAGGAGAGAGGGCCCTACACCTTGCCTGGACAAAACAGTGGAGCTGGCCCTGGTGATATGAGTGAGAGGGACCTGGATCTGAGGGCCCGAGAGCAGGAGAGCTGACCTGGCTCCTTGTTGTGGGCTGCATTGAGTGAGCTAGCTGAGATAGTGCTGGAGAGGTCATCTGGATAGTGATGATGAGGGAAAGCTGGCTGGCTGACTAACCCAGCTACCACCCAGGCCCAGAACCAGGGCTATAAGTTGTTCCACCCCAACATCCACCTCATTTATGAACTGTTGGAGCATGTGAAGGAGACGAACCTATAGATCCAAACCAGCAGAGTCTCCGTGACACAGGACAACAACAGGGTACCCAGGAGGAGCCCCAGGGACAGGCCGTTTTCTGTGGGTTAGCAGAAACCAGAGCAAGACCAATGAACACTTGCAAGTAAAGATGAGCAGATTAAAGGGTGAACTGTGTCTTAGCTGGCCACACTACAGCTTCCATCACAAGATTCTCCTTCTTTTGTTTTTGTTTGCTTTGTTTTTTCTTTTAAATTTGTTTTTGTTTTTTTGGGTTTTTTTTGGCGGGGGGGGGGGGGGAGAGGTTTAAAGGGCAGAGGATGGATTTAAGGGGACAGGGAGATAAATGGGAACAGAATGCATGATGTGAAATCCACAAAGAAGCAATAAAAGTAAAAATAAATTAAATCTAAAAAAAGGAGGGATGAGGAGGGCTCATTGGTTAAGAACACATACTGCTCTTGCAGAGGTTTTGAGTTTGGTTGCTAGCATCTACTTTGGGTGGCTCACTACTGTCTGTAACTCCAGCTGCAAGATATCAGACACCCTTTTCTGGACCTAAGTACCTGAACTTATACTTCATATACTTGCCCCCACTCCCAACCCCAAACCCAACTGAAAACCAATCTAAAAAAAGAATATGGCTGGTGAGGTGGCTCAGTGGTTAAGAGTACTTCAATGGGATGTGGGTTTAATTCCCAGTGCCCACAGGGTGTTTTACACCATCTGTAACTCCAGCTCCAAGGGACCCAACCTTCATCTTTTGCCCTCTTCAGGCACCAGCATGTAAGTGGTGCATAGACATAAGTGCAGGCAAAACTCCCATACAAGTAAAAAATAATAATTCTATAATTGCAGATACAGAACTTAAGAAGTAGAAATTAGAGGCTGGAGAGACCCAATGGTTAAGAGCACTGGCTGCTCTTTCAGAGGACTGTTTGATTCCCAGCACCCATTTGGTGGCTACCAACCATCTGTAACTTGTGTTCCAGGGAATCTGATGCTCTCTTCTGGCCTTGCATGAGATGCATAGACATACATGCAAACAAAACACCCATACACATAAAATAAGATGTTTTTAAAAAATGCTAGGAATTACTATGTCTTCTCAAGTTCCTGATAACTCCTTCCTCCCCAACAAGATAAATTAACAATGTTGATTTTTGTATTATATTTTTTTATATTATACTCCGTGTGTGTGTGTGTGTGTGTGTGTGTGTGTGTGTGTGTGTGTGTGTGTGTGTGTGTGTTGCTGGGGATTGAACCCAGGGTCTTACATGTGCTAGGAAGCCACTGAGCTAGATCCAAGCATTATAAAGAGCTTTTGAAAAATTGTGTATTTCTGTTTATTGTTTTTTTGTTTTGTTTTGGTTTGGTTTGTTTTTTCGAGACAGGGTTTCTCTATGTAACTGCCCTGGCTGTCCTGGAATTCACTCTGTAGACTAGGCTGGCCTCGAACTCACAGAGATCCTCCTGCCTCTGCCTCCCAAGTTCTGGAATTAAAGGCATGCGCTACCATTGCCTGGCCTGTTTATTGTTGATATAGGCAGTTATTTAAAGAAACAGGAGGTGGATGGGAATGTAGCAAATGGTAGCATACTTGATTAGCATGTGCAAAGAAAGCTCTGGCTTCAATCCCAGCAGCATGCAAACAGACAGACAAGAAACGCAGGTTGGCCATATTCCTATCAGAGGCTTCAAAGATCAGAGAGAAAAGCTTTCTGAGGGAGAAGAAAAAGATTTCATGTGAACTTACTACACTCTGATGTAGATTTTTTCCCCCTTGGGAAAATGACAAATCAAGTGATAGAATCTGAGAATTTGTACTTTGTCATGTTCTTGGCAACTGGTAACTGAATGAAATATGGCTTAAGTGTTTGATAACAGCCAATTTTCTAGCTGTTAGAAGTGTTTATTTTAACCATGCTTTGGAGTGGTAAAGATTGACTTCAGGAGCTGGGCGGTAGTGATGCAAGCCTTTAATCCCAGAACTCAGGAGGCAGAGCCTGGTCTACAGAGTGAGATCCAGGACAGGCACCAAAACTACACCGAGAAACCCGAAACCCTATCTCAAAAACAACAACAACAACAACAAAAAAGATTGACTTCAGGCACATGCCCACCACCTCATAGTTCTTAGTTTTTAGCTCTGGCTCATAAAGTAGGACTCTTAATTTTTTTTTTTTTTTGGTAGAGTTTGTGGTCTAATTCTTACTGTTAAAACAAGGAAACTTTAAATGAATAAAGAGAGTTTTAAACAATGCCTGTGGCTTAATTTTAAGGGATAGCTCTATGCATATAGCCATATACAAATATATAAAATGCCTTCTTCTCTTTCACCTTGGTAATCATTGTATGTGGAGAATAAGCATTTACATGATGATGTCTTGGCTAATTGTGGCAGCTCTGCAAATTCAGATGCTGTATCTGCCACTAGCTAGCTCTGTGGCCTGAGGAATATTCAACTTTTCTTTGGTTTCTTTATAAAATGAGAATGAAAAACCATTTGCCTCATTGAGTGGTTAGGAAGATTAAAAAAAAGGTTACTAAATACAAAATACTTAGGGTTGGAGTAATGATGTGGCAAATGCTGGCTGGTCTGTTTACTCTTTTGTTAAGACTGATTAAATTTCCATTTATTTGTAGGGAAATGTTCTTTCTAGAACCATGTTTTCTTGTCACATGATTATGTGTAATGTGAGCCTTATTAATTCTCTGTCAGCATTTGGGTTTGGCCCATAAATAAATATGTGGCTGGACCCAGAGGAATCCAGCCAGAGGGAGAACTAAGCACCGTAGCAACGGTTGCTGTTTGTGTCCTGCACACCAGCTGCTGAGGACAGGGTTACTTTTTAATCCTGTTTGCACTGACAGTTTGGGATGTAGCCTTGCCTCAGCGAAATGATTTGGTTGAGATATCCAGTCTTTTGAGATTTCATGACTACATGTTTGAGAGAGTCTGTCTCATGAAATATGAGGATAAAACTTTGCATGTATGAAAAAGGAAGGATTAATCTTCAGTATTCAGTCAGTTGCTGCAGTGTGGTGTGGTGGTATTAGTCACATGAGAAACCATTTAATATGTGTAGTGAGATTTATGATTCATTAGTACTCTGTGGTTCTGCATAAACGTCTATGCACATATATACATGTAGTAGATTACAGATTGTCTACTGTGGGGTTCAGAAAACACAGACTTTGCAATGAGTACCTTATTACCAAATGCTTTTTTGAATAGATAGCAAGCATTTCACAAAGAATTTATTTCATATTGGGTTGGATTAATATAATAATACCTTTCTAATTTTTATTTCTAATGTGTTGAAGTATTTCAAACCTTATGAGATACTTTGAAATAGAAACAGCCCATTTCCAAGTTTTAGCTGCTAATTTACCTAAAGAGGACAAACATTCAGTTCTAGAAGATTTACTGAGAACCTGTTATATATTAGACTCTATTCTGAATAGTGGTAACACCCAAATGAGTGTGTGGTCTGATTGTGTGTGTGTGTGCCAGTATAAATTACCTCTTCAACAATGATACTTTTGTTTTTTGATTGTCCTATTAAGACTCAATAGTATAAATGTGCTGTTGGGATGATTTGAAAATAAAGTATAATATATTGAGCTGATGAACTTATAATTGAAGGACTTAACACAATTTAATATTTTTTTCTCTAGGTATTATTAACCCAAAGAACCCAAAGGAAGCACCAAAGTCCTTCAGCTTCGACTACTCTTACTGGTCTCACACCTCGGTAAGTCTACTGCCTCCCTTTGCCTTTCTTGTCTTTCTTTTATCCTAGGTTGTTCCAAGATCCAGTTGTAATTTTCTGAGTTTGGTCAAGGATGAGTTCTGTGTGTGTGTTTGAGGAAGATGTGTTAGTTTTTTGTTGTTGTTGTTGTTTGTTTTTTGAGACAGAGTCTCATTGCCCATATTGGCATTGAACTCACTGTATACCCTAGGCTAGCTTCAAACTTGGACCAGTATTCCTGATTTAACCTCTCAAGAACTGGAATTACATGCATAGACTATAACACTTGGCTAATGAGCTCCCAGTTCATAAGTTAATTTTTTTTTTTTTTTTTGGTTTTTTTCGAGACAGGGTTTCTCTGTGTAGCTTTGCACCTTTCCTGGAACTCACTTGGTAGACCAGGCTGGCCTCTAACTCACAGAGATCCGCCTGGCTCTGCCTCCCGAGTGCTGGGATTAAAGGCGTGCGCCACCACCGCCCGGCATCATAAGTTAATTTTAAAAAGTTATTTATTTGCTCATTCATGTATTGTGTGTGTGGGCTGGAAGTTGATATCTAGTGTCCTCCATCATTTTCTGCCATATTGAGACAGGGTTTCTCTGAAGCTGTAGCTCACCACCTGGCTAGACTGTCTGGTCAGTGAGCCCTAGGATCCTCCAACTACTTCTTAGCACTAGGGTTAAAGATGCCTGCTGCCATGGGCAGCTTTTTTTGTGGGTACTGGCATTCTAAACTTAGGCCTCCATGTTTGCACAGAAGCACTTTGCCCATTGAGCCATATCCCCGGCCTCTTAATTTATTTTAATTTTAATTTTTAAAGAGTTTTTTTCCGAAGTCCTGGTGTGGTGGTACACACCTTTAGTCCCAACAGCCAAGTGACAGAGGCAGATGGATCTCTGTGAGTTCCAGGCCAGCCAGAGCTGTATAGTGAGACTCTGCTTCAAAAAACAACTAAAACTCAATCAAAACAAAAAAACCCAAATGAGACAGAGTCTCACTTGGCCTTACTGTATATAGCTGAAGCTGATCTTGAACTCCTGATCCTCCTGCCTCTCCCTCAGTGATGAAATTACAAATTGTGTTATTACACCCAGCCATGAGTTCATTTTTGATAGAGAGACTATTCCCTGGAGGATAAAATACTTACTTTGATCAAATGTTTGGTTTTCCCTGACACTTTAGTCAGTGTGAACCAAACCTTGTTGACCTTGTTGACTGCTCCCGTTTGTGCTCCCTGTTCCTTAGACCTTTTATGTTTTCCTATTTTGTGAGGAGGGAGGTTCCAGACTCTCCGCAAAGCCTAATCATCAAGGAAAGGGTTGAGGGAGGAATTGAAAATGTTCTTCATTAAAGTTGTTATTTTTTGTAAGCAACCACACTGTGTAGAATGAGTTCAAAGAAGTAGTTTTGTATGTACATCTGACCTTTGGTCTGTTATTCCCATTTTCTCCCTAAGAAAATCTTGGAGCTCCAACTTCTAGAGTGCCTCTCTACGTGAGTGTGTGTGTGTATGTGTGTGTGTAAAATGAAAAAAAAAATGTGTAGAAGGTTCTTTAAAAATGTATAGTAGCCAGGCGGCGGTGGCACACACCTTTAATCCCAGCACTGAGAAGGCAGAGCCACTTGGATCTCTGTGAGTTCGAGGCCAGCCTGGTCTACAGAGCGAGATCCAGGACAGGCACCAAAACTACACAAAGAAACCTTATCTCGAAAAAACAAAAATAACAACAACAAAAAATGAATAGTATAGTTTAAATGACTATTCTGATTCCAAACATTTTTTTAATGTGGAAACAGTCAAATTAATATAGGAAAGACTATTAGTAAAATGCCATAACTTTCCTTTGTAATCTTTACAGCCTGAAGATCCCTGTTTTGCATCGCAGAATCGTGTGTACAATGACATTGGGAAGGAAATGCTCTTACACGCCTTTGAAGGGTATAATGTTTGCATTTTTGCCTATGGGCAGACTGGTGCTGGGAAATCCTACACGATGATGGGGAAACAAGAGGAGAGCCAAGCTGGCATCATTCCACAGGTAAAGCAGTCGAATGTCAGCATCTGTGCCCATCGGTACTTTCAGTCTCAAATGGCTTTTTATTTGCCAAAAATGTATTCAGAGACTGTGATATGTAAGGCACAAAGGTAGACAGCCTGTCTATTTCCCTCAAAGGTGCCTACTATTGGGAGGAAAAGATTGGCATATTTTTAAGATAAGAAAGTTAATGTTTTCTAAAAACATTGCTGTTTCTGAACTGCCATATTATCCTATCTTTTAGTGTTAACAGTTTTTTTTTTCTAAATTCTAGAACACTCAGGAAATGCTGATCTGATTTTATTAAAAGTTCCTATACAGTGGGGCCGTGATGGCACACACCTTTAATCTCAGTACTCTGTAGGTAGAAGCAGGAGAATATCTTGAGTTTGAGGCCAACTGGTCTACAGAGAGAGTTCTAGAGCAGCCAGGGCTACACAGAGAAACCCTGTCTTTAAAAAACCAAGATAATAAAAGAAAAAAAGGAAAAGTTCCTATATAGATTATCTCTAAAGAATGTATTTTTGGCTGGGCAGTGGTTTCACACGTCTTTAATCCCAGCACTCAGGAGGCAGAGATGGATCTCTGTGAGTTTGAGATCCAGGCCAGGCACCAAAACTATATGGAGAAACCCTGTCTCAACCCCCCGCCCCCCCCCAAAAAATAATGTATTTTTATTTTCTTTTTTTGTGGTCCTAAGGATAGAACCTAGGCCAGTGTTCTAAGGAAGTACTCTGCTGCTAACTACATTCTATCCCTTTGTTTTTGTAATTTAAAAAAAATTTTTTTTTTAATTTAATGTGCTATCATGCCTGGTTTATGGGGTCACGGGTATCCAGCCCAGGGCTTTGAGCAAGCTAGGTAAGTACTTCACCAGCTGAGCTACAGCCCCGTACCCTCTTTAGACTGTAAGTTTTGGTTATGATGAATAATGTTGCTGTTAAGTCTTTGCTTGCTTGTGTGCCTTTTGACTCAGTTTCACTACATAGCCCTGGCTGTCCTAGAACTCACTATGTAGACAAGGCTGGCCCAGAACTCAAAGAGAGTTTCCTTACTTTTGCCTCCAAAGTACTGGCATGGAGGGTATACACTGTCACTTGCAGGCCATGGCAGATAAGTCCTTGATTATAAATTTTTTGCTCATTTTTAGTCAGTTTTGTTGTTATAGTGATGTATTACTAGTTACTTGAGTATAGTATGAAGAATCAAATTTGGATAAATGGGGTTTTCTTCCTAAGGAAACAATATCAGTGTTCATTGTTGAAAGAGAATAACAATTAAGAGCATATCAGAGTATAAAATTTTTATTTAAAATACTAATTGTGTTTGGTTTATGATATGCACATTTGGAGAGATAAAAAGATAGAATATTGACGGTTGTGATGGAGCACTCTGGTAGGATTTGCTGAAGGAGGCAGAAGCAGGAGGATCACGAGTTCGAGGCCAGCCTGGGCTACACATTATAAAAGAAAACAAAGATGAAATATCTTATTATCGCTGTAATGAATGTAGTACTTCTCTGATTTGGGCTGTTCATGGACCCTTTCCTTCTGCTTTCCTAGTTGTGTGAAGAACTCTTTGAGAAGATCAATGACAACTGTAATGAAGAAATGTCTTACTCTGTAGAGGTGAGTATAGCTGTTACTGTATTCCTGCCCTTCATGCCTTTCATTCTCTCAATGAAGCTAGAAGTCACTGTGTAGACCAGACTGGCCTCAGACTCACAGAGATCTGCCTGCCTCTACCTCCTGAGTGCTGGATCAGAGGTATGCACTACCATGTCCAGACTCCCTCTATTATGTCTTAAAAATATTAATTTAATGCTGAGCGGTGGTGCACGCCTTTAATCCAACACTTGGGAGTCAGAGGCAGGCAGATCTCTGAGTTTAAGGCTAGCCTGGTCTACAGAGTGAGATCCAGGACAGTCAGTGCTACACAGAGAAACCCTGTCTTGAAAAAACAAACAAAATAATTCATTTAATTAATTTAATGTCTTTGTACACGAATGCACAATCAAGTGCCATGGTGTAGGAATGAGAAGTTCACAGAGTTGATTCTCTCCTTCTATTATGTGGATTCCAAGGATTGAACTCAGGTTGTCAGGCTTGTTGGAAAGGACCCTTACCTGCTGAGCCATCTCACTGGGTCCCCACTGCTTTTTTTTTTTTTTCCTCCTTTTTTTCCTAGTCTGGAAATCACAGAGATCCCCCTGCCTTTGTCTCACCAGTGCTGGGATTATAGGTGGTAGTTGCCCACCTTGGCTGGGCTACCATACCCCATTGTGTTAAAAAGCTCTTGGTTGTAATTTTGTTGCTGCTCACTTAAAGTATCCCCTTAATTTTATGGGTTAAACTGTTTCTAAATTTTGGTTATAATTAATAATGTTGCAATTAAGGAATTGTTCAAAGTTCTGTGCAATCATTTTTGGGTGCTGATCTGTATCTTTTTTGTTAAGTGATACATTTGGTTGGCTTTTAGAAAGACTGTATAGCAGTTTTCATTCTTCCAGGAGAAACTGACAACCATTGTACTCTTTTAAATAATTAGTGTTTTTAGTTTTAAATCTTTGCCAATTTGGGGCTGGAGAGATGGCTCAGTGGTTAAGAATGAGGACTGCAGAAGCTTTGAGTTCTGTTCCCAGGACTCAACCAGGCAGCTCCTATCCACCTGCAGTTCAGGGTATCTGATTCCCTTTTCCTGGGCACTGCAGACCTCTGCCCTCATGTGTTTACAAACACATGCTTATAAACTTAATTAAAAAAAAAAACTAAAATTTTTTGCTAATTTGATAATACATAACTTTTTGTTAAATTTGAATTTCTTTATTAGTGTGTTTGATCGTCTTGTACATTATATACACGCTTGTTTAATATTTGGAAGGAAAGGCAGCTATACTCACTACTATAACTAACACAGACTTTACATTTGAGAATCTCATTTTTTTTCTTTACTTGATGTGAACTATCCTCTTTAATATAGTTAGTAAGTATGTGGTTTTTAAGCTGTTGTTACACACACACAGAGGAAAACACTCTTTTTGTGTATTGGATTTCATAGTAATATAAATACTCTGTTAACATGAACCCACTGTTCTGGGAAATAAAGCTGTCTTTTAAGAAAATGCTAATAGTCTGTGCTCCTCACCCCCTAAAACAAAACAAAACAAAAAAAAACAAAACAAAACATGGTTTTTCTGTGTAGCCCTGGCTGTCCTGGAACTCACTCTGTAGACCAGGCTGGCCTTGAACTCATTTAGATATCCACCTGCCTCTGCTAGAATTAAAGGCGTGTGCCACTACCACCCAGCCTTTATTTATTTATTTATTTATTTATTGATATGTGGTATGATTTTTTGACAGTACTTACGGTTTCTACTTGTTTTATGCAATTGCTTTGGACTTTTTTCTTTGCTAATTAAGGGTTGCACACATTTCTGAATTTTTTAAAAAGTTCTGCTTTATGGCTGTCATATACCAAAAGGGTATTGTGTTTCATTTCAAGTTTCTATTTAACTATCTTGTCTTGTCCTATAACAGCTCTTTAAATCAGGTGAAGGACTTTTTGAGCTTATAGGTAATAAGAGAAGGTCCCATTTTGTGTTAGTTTTCAGAGATCATTTGGGGTGCATCTTAAAGTCCTTGTGGATGTTATGGTTCCTTGCTACATTTCCTGTTTTCTTTTTTTCCACTTCTTCACCTGTTTGCCCCCACCATAGTGACTCTTTTTTCCTCAGGTTCTGTGTGGTTGGAAAGTTTCTCCAGTTCAGCCAAGCCCCTGCAGTCCTGCAGCTTGCTTATAAAATAATCACTCAGAAGCTTATATTAATTACAACTGCTTGGCCATTAGCTCAGGCTTATTACTGACTAGCTCTTACACTTGAATTAACCCATAATTCTTATTTATGTTTAGCCACATGGCTTGTTACCTTTTCTCAGTTCTGCCTTGACATCTTGCTTCCTCTGTGTCTGAGACAAAATTTCATTTATTCCTGGCCAGACTATGTAGCCCAGGATGACCTTGAACTTTTGATCTTTCTATGTCCATCTCAGTGCTAGGATTATAGATTTGTACCACCATACCTAGTTTATTGATGCTGAGAATTGACCCAGTGAGTTCAAGTGGGGTTACTTACATGGGTGAGGGATTGCTTCTTCAGCTGTTATTGCTGAAGAAAATGTCTCTTCTTTGTTAGCAAATGTTAACCATAACCAGGGAGGGATGGAGCCTTGTGAGCCCTACCCTCTACTAACCTGTAAATTCTCAGAGAGGGATGGGGATTTGTGAACTCCTTCTCTTCCATTTAAAATGTTGACAGGCCAAGTCTTGTGTAGGTAATCATAGAGCCTGTGAGTTCATGAGTACAATGGCCACGGCATGCCCAGAAGCCAGGGTTCTACAAAACTCTACCCTTCCCTCCAAGTCTTAGGCCATTTTGCCCCTCTTCCTTCATGATCCCTGAACCTTAGATGGGGTGGTATAGATGTTCATTTGGGCCTGAGTGTTCAACAGTGTCTCATTCTCAAAGTCTGACAAAATTCAGACTTGAGTAAAGTTCATTTGGCTGATGTTGGAAACCAACATGTTGGTTTACTACTTTTCTATGAGGAATTTACTCACATTTGCAAGACTAGCATATTATTTTTTTCTATTGAAATCCTGGTCCTGATGATCCATTGAACAAGGCATTAGAGGAAAGGGAATTGATTAAATAAATACTGTTTCAGGTTAGGGAATTATAGCATGGTTTGTTCATCACCATGAGAGGCATGTCCTGCTGATAGGACAGTAAATCATGAAGTGGATTGTCTGAGCCTTCCTAAGTTTTCAGTAAGCCTTTGTCATTGACAAACCATTAATTACTCCTTTTGGTGGATGCGTTGTCCATAGTTAATAACACTGTGGCCAGTCTTAAAGAATTAGTGACTGGGCTGGGGAGCCAAGATTGGTGTGAATGTAGAATCCCAGCTCTGAGTAGGCAGGGATAGTCAGTTCCCTGGTGCTCTCTTGCCAACAAGCTTCATGCCAGTGAGAGACTCTATCTCAAAAAAAAATGTTATGGTTTCTGAAGAAGGACACCCAAGATTTCTCTCTAGCCTTCATGTGTGTGTCCATATGAACACAAACCCACCCCCACCACCACCCCCACCACCAAAAGAATTAGTCATTGGTCTCTTTTGTTTTCTCTGTCTGAATATTTTTTTTTTATGTTTGTTTTGGTTTTTTTGGCCAGAGTTTCTCTGTATAACAGCTCTGGCTGTCCTGGAACTCACTCTGTAGACCAGACTGGCCTTGAACTCACAGAGATCATCTACCTGCCTCTCCCTCCCAAGTGCTGAGATTAAAGGTCTGTGCCACTACCACCTGGCTATTCCTTGGTTTTAATACTGATCAAAATACTAATTTCCAGGCTCTTAGAATAACCTCACCTTAAGCCTCGATACTGACAGTAATATGCATTTTTAAAATGCCAATAAAACTGGGTGAGATGATGCATTCCTGTAATCTCAGCACTTAGAAGGCTGAGGCAAGAGGATTGCAAGTTTGAGGCCCAGTTTAGCTACAAAGATTCTGCTTTGGGGTGGGAGGCACTAATAAAGCTCTACTAAAAATATACATCGTGCCTAAGACAAATAGCCTCCATGTATACATGTTTGCCCTCTTTTTCTTCTTGAGAAAAGACTATTTCTGACTCATGTAGCCTGATATACACAATACTGTTAGTAGAATTAAGAGTCCAGGACTGTGGTGTTCTGATCTATAATTATACAACTTTTTATAATTTTTTCCCTTTTTTTAGTTCAGGCTTACCATGAATGTATGATCCTTCTGTCTTTGCCTCCTGAATACTGAGTTTTCAGGTCTCTATCACTATGCTTAGCTTTGAAAAAGTGTCTAATGTTTATATATCTTTTCCAAATCCTTTAATTTACTTTAATAAAATATTCCAGGTGAGCTACATGGAAATTTACTGTGAGAGAGTACGAGATTTGCTGAATCCCAAAAACAAGGGTAATTTGCGTGTACGTGAACACCCGCTTCTTGGACCCTATGTGGAGGATCTGTCCAAGCTGGCGGTCACTTCCTACACTGACATTGCTGACCTCATGGACGCTGGGAACAAAGCCAGGTATGATAGGAAATAGACTAATAACTGAGTCCTTTGACATATTTTGAGGTTTTTTTTTTCCAGTGTAAGAATTGAAGCCATGTTTGTAGCTATGAACGTTGCTTTAATTGTAGTCATTTGAGAGTCTTTGGCTATGCTGGAGAGGTATAAGCTTCAACATACTAAGTAGCTGTCTTTTCATTAAAGTGGTGCATTGTTGCAACAGGTCAGAACTTTCGTTGAGTTAGCTCTTAGGTATTGATTAAGTTATGGTAAAATGTTAGCTGCAATGTCTAGATGAGGCTGTGGTAGTAAATGGATTCTGGAATAAATGAGCACCGGATGAAGAATATGAATTAAATGCTCTAGTGATTACTAAAGGGATAGCTGGAGTATGAAAAGTGATTCTGATGGGGTGCCTTTTGAGTCGTGGGGTAACTCGATGGGCTTACAAATAAGACAGCATTTAGAGCAATTGTGTAAGTGACAGTCCTTTAGTCTAAGTAAGTTTAAAGCTGTTGTCTGTGATTGTTACGTATGCTTGTATAGAGCCTGCCATCCATTTAACTCTCATGGGAGAATTCTCTTGTCAAGCGGTACCTTTGGGTTTATTTAGGACAGTGGCAGCTACCAACATGAATGAAACAAGTAGCCGTTCCCACGCTGTGTTCACCATCGTTTTCACTCAGAAGAAACACGATACTGAGACGAACCTTTCCACCGAGAAGGTAGGACAGCTTGTGATCTCTTGTCATGAAGACACTTTGTGGAGAAAATTTTGAGAAATCCCTTTTATACTACTACCCTCTGCATTTTTTGGACAGGATAAGTGTTATTCTTTTATTTAGTGAAGGTGGTTTTTGAAACTTTTTTTTTTTCAGAGCTGAGGACCGAACCCAGGGCCTTGCGCTTGCTAGACAAGCGCTCTACCACTGAGCTAAATCCCCAACCCCTGGAGGTGGTTTTTAATTTCTACTCACCATTTACCCTACACGGGTGTTCAGTGTGGGTCTTTAATGGAACTGAAAGATATTAAACACAGTTAAAAAATAATTTAAAACTTTGGGTCTAATTATCTTTTTTTTTTTTTTTTTTTTTTTTTCCCGAGACAGTTTCTCTGTTTAGTTTTGATTGTCCTGTAACTCCCTCGTACACCAGGCTGGCCTTGAATTCACAGTGATCTGCCTAAGTCTGCCTTCTAAGTGCTGGAATTAAAGGCATACTTAGTTTCTTTCTTTCTTTTTTTTTTGTTTTTTGAGACAGGGTTTCTCTGTGTAGCTTTGCGCCTTTCCTGGAACTCATGTTGGAGACCAGGCTAGCCTTGAACTCACAGAGATCCACCTGGCTCTGCCCGAGTGCTGGGATTAAAGGCGTGCACCACCACCGCCCAGCTATACTTAGTTTCTTAAGAAACGGCTAAACAGTTTTCAAAACAATCATTGCCACTAGAAGTATATGAACGCTCTAGTTGTTTAATGCTTCATGTTCCTGCCAGTGTAATAGGTTTCGTGTGTGTGTGCACATGTACGTACATATAGATGTCAATGTATGTTAAAACGCGGCCTCAGTGTGTACCTCTCTGGCTGGCCTAGAACTTGCTGTGGAGACCAGACTGCTTGGAGTTCACAGAAATCCACCTGTCTCTGCTTCCGGGGTACAGGGACTACTCCTGTCTTTGCTGTTGAGTTTTGAATTCGTTATCACTGTGTAGAGCAGACTGTCTTTGAGCTCATGGATGAGCCTCCTGTCTTTTCCTCTGCCTCTTGGGTATTGGGATCAGAAGTATGCACTACCACACCTAGCTGTCTTGTTGCTTTTTAATTTCCATGGTATTGTTCTTTACTTAGGTCAGTAAAATCAGCTTGGTGGATCTAGCAGGAAGTGAACGAGCTGATTCAACTGGTGCCAAAGGAACTCGATTAAAGGTATTTATTTTAGCCAAGTGGTCTAGTCAATTAATGTTTTGTAACATGGATCCATAAACTGTGGCTATGGGCCAAATCTAGTTACTGCCTGGTTTTACAAACAAAAGTCTTTTGAGAGATAGCTGTAACTTTTAATTTATGTATTGTTTATGGTGGTATTTACTGTTTTGATACAGGTTCTCATGTAGTCCAGGCTGGCCTTGAACTTACCATGCGGCTAGGATGAGCTTGAACTCTCTGAACCTCCTCCCTCCATTGAGTGTTAAGGGTGTGTGCCACCATGTCTCTTTTATGTGGTGCTGGAGATTGGACCTGGTGGTTTGTGTGTGTAGTCAAGCACACTACCTATTGAGTAGTGACTATCCCTAGTCCTCTGTGACTGTTTTATGTGCAATGGCAGAATTGCACCAGAGACTATGTGACCTGCAAAGCCCAATTTTTAAATTTAATCTTTAATGAAAAAATTCCTAATTATTGATCTATAATTTCAATGAAATGATAAGTTAGATAGCAAAATAGGTAGGGGAGAGTTTATGGTTAAGAGTGAAAGTTGTATTAGATTTTGAGAAATGGCAAAATTTGGCAAGAGATATACAAGATACAGATGTATGAACAAATGTGGACTTCGACAGAAATACTGTTTAACAAGGACAGGGTGTGTGGTCTCAGCATGTTACCAAGGGTGCAGAGCAAAGAGCAAAGGCTACAGGTGTCTTTAGAACTTGTGTCTTAAAGAAGCAGATATCAGGGCTAAGGAGATGACTCAGTGGGTAAAGTGCTTGCTGCTACTCAAGGACTTGAGTTCAGATCCCCAACACCCACAGTGGGGGGTGGGGGGAGAGGAGAAGTAGATATGCTCAGCTTGTAGCATTATAAGTGGTATGCAGTAGTACAAATTCTTCGTTGTAATTGTTCCATGTTTGGTGTTTATTTTAGGAAGGTGCAAATATTAATAAGTCTCTTACAACTTTGGGCAAAGTCATTTCGGCCTTGGCAGAGGTGGTAAGTTTTCTGTTTCACTCTAAGAGGAAATGTCTGCTCAGCAAGTAAACTTGCTGATACTTATGCTTCTTTATGTAGCTTATACTGTTGGCCTTTCTATGTAGGTTTTTAAATTTTGCAGGTAGGGCTAACGTATGATACAGCTTTGTACTGAAAGTAGAATGGAAACAACTGTACCTGTGTAAAGCTAGAGCAGAGACATAAAATTGGATTCATTTTTTTTGAGTCCTATTTCACACCTCATAATAACGAAATATATTTTTGGAGCATTTTGAATGATGTGGCTTTGGAAAATGATGTTAATTTAGAAGCCAATAATAAATATTTTTAAAATTCAGTCATGTATCATTTAATGAGATGAATACATTCTTAGAAATGCACCATTAGGTGATTTTGTCATCGTAGTAAGTAGGAAGAATATACTAGAACAATGAGGAAAATAGAATAGTGATATACAGGTGAGTCTCAATCACCAAATGCCATATGTTCAACATAATTATGTGTACTTGTGTGTTCTATATGACTGGCGATATAGTAGGTTTGTTTCCACCAACATTCCTACAAACAATGCATTATGATACCACCTAATGACAGCAACAACACTGTGATTTTTCAATTCCATTATAATCTTAACAGACCATCGTTGTCTCTGCAGTGCACATGTAGATGAAAAAGTTCTTGTTTTTGCAGCACTGGCACAATAAAGCTAAAACAGAAGTTTGCATAGTCTTCATTATTTAGGTTTAAAACCCAAGGTGGTTTTTGTATGCTCTAATTTAGATTAATAGGTCATTTAAATCACTTAGAATTAAATCTCTTCTTGTCTCTACAAAGTACTCTGATTTCCATTCATTCTAGAGGCTTATCCTGTGTTCTTTTTCTTTCTTTTAAATGCTTTCATTTGTAGGATAACTGCACCAGCAAGGTACGGCGGGGTTGGTCACACTGAACTAGCTAAATGATCATCTCTAGGGTTTTCACATTTTTAGAGATAAATAGGGCAGGGCATATGTTAGAATAGAACCTTCAAAAAGGTTTTCATTGCTTTTTTTCTGGCTCTGAAATTTAGAATGATTGTTTAGAATGATTGTTTAGGGTGGCTGTGAATCATGAGACTTCATACTAGAAATAATTAAGGAGCATAAAGAACTTTGGAGAAGGAATAGACTAAAGGAATGAGAGAGAAATTTGAGGAAGCTTTTCCGTTGTGTCGTGATGTTTGCTGCAGTGATCTCTAAGAGCATCTCCTACGAGTTCTGTAAACCACTGAAAGAGAGTAACTTACATTTCCTCTAGTCCTGTTCTGAAGCATAGTTAATTGATGGAGATTATTGCAAACTAAGAAGATAAAACAAGATTATATATTACTAGTCTATCTAGATCCTGTTTTATCTCACTTATTTCCCACCATAGACGCTTATGAGTAATTTAAAACATTTTTCCTATTATTTGGTTATACATAGATGAAGTAAACGCTGTAGAATCAATTTAAACTTTCTGAGTGATTTTTTTTTTTAAGATTTATTTATTTATTATGTATACAGTGTTCTGTCAGAAGAGGGCACCAGATCTCATTATGGATGGTTGTGAGCCACCATGTGGTTGCTCGGAATTGAACTCATGACCTCTGGAAGAACAGCCAGTGTTCTTAACCTCTGAGCCATCTCTCCAGCCCCCCAATTTAAACTTTCAACAGAAGCTAGAAAAGATTCTTTGTATCTTCCTTTACTCAATGGTGTATATTTTCTCTTCCTTATATTTCTATACAAATACTCTTAAATTTTTTGTTATGCTTCTGAATATTCTTCTTATATTAAGAGCACCTAAGAGTTAAGAATTATATGAGATAAGGTCAGGGTAGAGGCAGTATTTGCATTAAAATATTAGTATTCAGATGTTTTATTTGCTTTTTTCTACTTTTTGGGTCTTGTTTTAAAGGATTTTTCTTATTATAGTTGTGGGTGGGCTTGTGCTGTGGTACATGTGCAGATGTCTGAGGACAACTTTTGTGAGTTGGCTTTCTCCTTTTGGGAACCAAACTTTGTGTTGCCTGGTATATCCAGTCCTAAGCCATCTAACTGGTTGTGTTGTTTCTTACCTCCTTGTCAAAGAAGTGTTGATAAGTGAAATACTAGGTTTGTTTTAAAATATTAGCAGGTCTAAAGCTGTGGATAAGTTATTGTAGTATTATATTGTTAAATTTACTAAATTTGTTCCTTATAAACTACATCTCTGCTGAAGTATTTACTTGTGCCTGCAATTTACTCAAATGGTTTGGGTAATGGTAAAATAATAATGGTTAAAGCTACATGGTAATTCTACCATGTACATTGTAATACTACTCTCTTGACTTTTTGTGTTATAAAGATTTAAAAATGAAATGTTAAAAAGAAGTTGTTTTGTATGTGCTTTTTGCATTTGCTTTTTGAGGCTGTGAGTAAAGCATGTCAATAATGATAGAATTTCATTACAGTTTGATTATTTCAGAAGTTTAGAATGGTTTGCTTTTCATGTGAATTCTCCCCCATAATATTGCTAAAGTTATTCCCTTCTCTTTAATAGAGTAAAAAGAAGAAGAAAACTGATTTTATTCCCTACAGGGATTCTGTTCTTACTTGGCTCCTTCGAGAAAATCTAGGTATGTTGACTGCTAGTCCACATTACTTTGTAGTTGTTGTTTAAAGCTGTTTAATGATGATTTTTTATGGCTCATTATTCCATGTCTGCTTTAGAGAAGAATCATCTCTGGATGATGAGTTCATAGTAACTCAACCTGAGTGCTTCTTGTCTTTTTCTGGTTTTGCTTTTGATTTTCCCTGGTTGGATCACTTACTTCAGGACACAAACTAAGGAGCTGTTACTGTATTCTGTACTCCATACAGCTACTTAAAATGTTTTTTCTTCTTCAGAGCCCACTGCCCCTGCCAAGGCTTATTTATTTTATGTGCCCAGGTGTTTGCCTACATGTATGTGTGTGTCTGGTGCCTGCAGAGCTATAAGGCAGCTTTGCATCCCCAGGAACCAAATACTGTTTTCTGCTAAAGCAGTTTGCACTCTTAACCACCGAGCCATCTCTCTAGACTCTTCCTTAGAGTACTTAGAAGCTCACATTCCTCTGCATTTCACACAGCCAAGTACACACTACATTGTCTTAATTCTCCTTACTGCTGATGTTTTTGGACCTTTCAGCCTTTTTCTCATTTCTTGCTCCTCCTCATTCAGAAAAAGCAACCAATCAACTTTCCCATCACCGAGGGCAGTTTTGGTGGAGTGGTTGAGATCTTGATTAGAGTGGTTGTTTGTTTACAGCCCAGGCTGGCATTGAACTCCTGGTACTGGCTCCTGTGAAGGAATTATAGGCATGTGCTACCTTACCTGGTTAGAATAGTTTTAAGGGAGAGTAGGATGGGAACTGAACAGGAGAGTCAGAAAGCAGAATGTAAGTAGAACAGTGCATAGCATGGAAACAGTTAAGAATGTTTTTTGGGTTCCAGGCGTGGTGGCACATAGCTATAATCTCAGCACTTAGGAAATGAAAGCAGAAAGATTGCCAGCTCAAACCAGCAAGGCTACATGAGACCTTGTTAAAACAAACAGATGAAAAAAAGAAAAATTTGCTGGCTTTTGATTAAATTTTAGGGTCTGCTCTCAGCTTTAACACAGTAAATAAAATTCTCCTTTTAAAAATGAGTGTAATTTGAGATACTCGTAATTCATTTTCCTAGGTGGTAACTCCCGAACTGCAATGGTTGCTGCTCTGAGCCCAGCAGACATCAACTATGATGAAACTTTGAGCACTCTGAGGTACTTTTCCTTTGATCTTAGTAGCTGAGTAGTTTTGTATGCCATAGATTTTCTTACACATTAAGGGCTGTCATGTGATCCTTTTTTCTCATAATATTGGGAAAATTATTTTTGTTACAAAGGAGTTTACTTATGTTGCTTCCAGATTCACTGGGATAAGTAAGAGCTTTTTTACAGGAAAGATGTTCCAATTATTTGAGTGAGATATTGGATAACTTTAAGATAATAAAATTTTCTTATAGTATTCATTTTTGTTAATAGAAGTGTTCCCTTTTATAGATAGTCTATAGATATGTTCAAGTTGTAAAAAGTAATGCAATTATCAGTACGTGTAGCACTGAAGAAGTACCAACATAATATTCATAAAACTTTTATATATAGAATAGTTTAATCTGAAACTATCTTCCCTTTTCCCATTAAAGATACTTTTAATACAGCAAAAGAACACTATATAGGTTGACGGACTGGGTTTGAGTCTTCTCTCTGGTGCTCATTTCTGTTGTGATCTTAGCCAAAGCACTGAAGTTCTGCTGAACCTCTATCACTTCTGTAAAGTGCTATAAAGTCTCATACAAATAACTTACTTATCAGAGCTCTTCAAATGTTTGCTTTAGAGGCAAATAGTATGTTATTTCTGAGAAGTAGAGCCTCTGAGAAATGGTAAGGATGCATTTTCTTTCTATATCTAGGTATGCAGACCGTGCAAAACAAATTAAATGCAATGCTGTTATCAATGAGGACCCTAATGCCAAGCTGGTTCGGGAGTTGAAGGAGGAAGTGACCCGATTGAAGGACCTTCTTCGTGCTCAGGGGCTGGGAGATATTATTGATAGTAAGTGAAGAAGGACCACATAGCATCTTCTTTCCTCTCCAGATTCTTGTACTTAAAACAAGTTTAGGGCTGGGTGTAGTGGGCACTTGGGAGGCAGAGGGAGGCTGATTTCTCTGAGTTCAAGGTCAGCCTGGTCTACCTGGTGAGCTGCAGGCCAGTCAGAGCTACACAGTGGGACCCTACCTCAAATAAGTAAGTAAGTAAATAACATAAGCTTAGATTTTAGAGACTTGATGAATCTAAATGTTAGTAAAATGGTTTTACGAGGTTTTTTCCTTAAAAATGCCAGTGAAATGAAATAATCTCAAATTTTCTTTATGTGCCCCCAAATCCCTGATTTTTTTAAAGTCAAATTTATTCTGAAAAATTAACCACTTCATAAAAGTATTACTTGGAAGCTCTTGTTTCCCTGGATTAATGCAGTAGTAATAATGCATGTGTAAGAATTCACCATTCCAGTCTACTTCTAAGTAAGATTTATCTTTGAATGACTCTTGTTCTCTATGGAAAAGTGAAGAGGAAAAGTCTAATTCTTGTCAAGTTCAAGAACTAGACTTCCAGCAAGTACTGTTGCACGGTGTTCTTTTATAATTCATGCTTTTAAAACTCAGTCATCCTGCTATATAGTATGTAATCTAACCTTTTCTAAGTTGTGATTGGCAGTGGAGCTCATTAGTGATCGTTATTGCTTAGCAGGTATAAGGCTCTGGTTTTAACCTCAGGACTTGCCATAAAATAGATTCTTCAGATAGAATATGGGTTTACTTAGTAAAGCATATTTTTATTTTTAATGTAAAAATATTATATACTTTGAAATACTAACTGATTTCAAACCCTCCTCCAACTTACCTCTTATGTATTAGAATCTGGATTTTAATTAATATAATTTGTGAAAATGATAATATATATATTACTGAATTTTCATTTTTTTTTAGCTTCCCAAATGCCAAATCCCAATCTTATCTTGCTACTGAATCTGAACTTTGACCCTTCTTGTATTTTCCCTCTTGCTTATCTTTAGTTGATCCATTGATCGATGATTACTCTGGAAGTGGAGGCAAATGTGTGTATATCATGTATTGGTTATTTCCTGTATGCTGACTTGCTAATTGGCCTTTGCTGGGTCAGCCTCAAAATGAGCTTTGCATGCCAGCAGTCCTAACAGGGAAATCCCAGACAGAGTGTTAGGTAACATCACATTCTCTTGTTTTGACCCTTCTCCATTTAGCAAAGTAACTTCATGACTTTTAGTTTATGCCTTGACTGAAATTGAGAGGTATAAGAATTTGAGTCTCCCACTCAATCTTCAGTGTTTCTAGCCATATAATTAAATCAAATTCAGCATCACAGTTGGTAAGGCTAGTGATGATAACAGCACACATTTATCAAATGTCTATAATATACCTGGCCCTCTTCTAGGCAGCATAAATATATTATCTCTATTAATTCTGTTATTGATAAAATTACTTTATCCCCACTTTACTATAGCCAGGAGTGGTTCCTTTTCTGAGGTGCCATGGTTTCTCGTGTTTAGGTTAGGCAGTTTAACTCAGAGCTCTTGCTTTTAATCATTACTACATCAATACCCCCTTTTCCCTCTTGAGTTGCTTCCTTTTATGAACCTATTATTTAATAGGAAAATTCCTTTTTAATTAGCATTGTAAATGTGAGTCTTTGTATAATTACAAAAATCATTTCCAGTTAGTCAAACTGTCTGTAATTAAAGAGCTCTGTGCATGTTGGATTAGCACGCACTTGTGCTTATATGCCATTGGTTTTCTACATATTTGAGCCTTATCTTACATGATCATATTTAAATAGACATTTTATCTCTTTTCATAAATTACAACTTAAAATTTTTAAATTGATGTCTGAAGTGTATGATTTAAATGAAAATATATATTACAAAAGATCACAAGCCATTATTTTCAGTATAAATGTTAAGTTGACAAGGAAATAGTTGCTTATGCTTTTAATATAATTCATCAAGATACGTTGAATCTCAGTTTGGGGATTTTTAGAGTCTGTTGATCTGTTTATTTGTAGAAAGCCATTTCAGACTAGGGAATGCATAGGAGAACCCAAACATAGTACCAGTTACTGTGCTGACTTAAGCCCAGAGGACTGGCATGCCCAAACACATGTGGCTCTTGGCCTGGAACAGCTCTGTCTGAGATCTCCAAAGCTGAAGGATATTGGTGTGGAGAGGATGCCTTTTTGATCTTGCTTTTGTGTTCAAGGTGCTGCTGCTGGCTTGTTGCCTATCTCTTCTCTGAGCAGCTGTGGCATTTCCTGAAAACCATGCATGACCAAGTTTTAATCTTATATCCACAAAGGAGAGCAGCCCTGGCTACTCCTCAGTTTCCCTTTGGATCTACTTCTTATAATTCATTTTAGGGCTTGCATGTGTCCACAGGACCTTCTAAGCTCCATCTATCCCTCTTTCCCACCTTGCTGCCATCATCTGACAAATGAGTTTTGCTCCAGTTCCTGTTTGCCTTTTAAAACATGCCTCTTTGCTTGTTTCCCCATGTTCTATATTTGCAGATGGTAGTTTTCAAACTGTCTTGAAGCAACTGCCACAGACTATAAGGGGCTTCAAGAACTGGTTTTCATTGAATAGTAAAGATTAGTAAACCCAGAGAGTGACTGTTTTTTCCAACTACTTCCATTGCCTCATATCCTTTAAGAAAAACCTAGTTTTGATATGAATTCAAGTAATGTAGATTTTCTCAAATTTAAAAATGAGAGCCAGCAAGATGGCTCAGTGTATAAAGGTGCTTGATACCAAGCCGGAGAACCTGATTTAGAGTCCAGGTTCTCACATAGTGGAAGGAGAGAACTGACTCTCACAAGTTGTTCTCTGACCACAAAGGAACACGTACAAAATAAATACATGTAATAAAGAAAACATTTAATGAGCTAATTTTAACATCGAAATGTAAATGGATGCCGTGGCACCCACCTGTGATCCCAGCGGAATCAGCACTCAGGAGTGGGAGGCCAGAGAACCAGGAGTTCAAGGTTATTCTCGGCCATATATCAAGTATGAAGTTAGACTAAGCTGCATGAGACCCTGTCTTCAGACAAAAAAAAAAAAACCAAAAAGGATTGTACCAATAATGGTGGTTTCTTTGCTATTCATTTGAGAAGGGTGATTAATGAATGAAATTACAAAAAAGCAAATCACTGAGTTTTATTATTGGTGCACTTTTTACCAAGAACAAAGTTTAAGATGGTAATTTTCAGTTGCGCCCTAGGCCTTGGTTAGAGAGAACACGTCTTGAAAGCTTGGCTGTCGCACGAGGAAGGAGACTCCCAGCGGCTCATTGATTGTGCCGTTAGACACCGGAGGGTTTTACTTAAATTATCAGATAGCTTTTAATTTTTGTTTTCGGTGACTCATAAGTGGGAAATATACTAAAACTTGTTAATTCACTAATTGTTCTTTTCTGTTGAAACAACCACTCATTACAAAGTTATTACCATACTTCCTCAAAATTATTCTCATTTTTGTTTCTTTTAATTTAGAATATATTTTTGGCATATTAACATGCTACTATACACAGTCTACTAAATGCTCAGAGTTATAACTAACATTTCTTAAATTTTTGTCTGAATTCCATTAAACACTGGGCTAGGTCAGTATGTGGTATTAATTGCTATTTTCCCCTTTCTGTTAAAAACTACTAGAGTTTAAAAATATAGTAAAACTGTAGATATTGAAGACTTAGAATAGCAGGAAGAATTTTAAGGACTATAGTTTACCTGTTTAGGAAGAACATCTTTGAAGTTCAGTACCCTCCCATACTGGAAACTTCTCATTTCTAAATTCAGAATTGGCTGACTGCTTAGGATCAAATATTACAGAGTGACATGTTTTAGAACTGCCATCTAGTACAGTGTTAGAGCTTGTCTTTGTGTTTCAGCGTGTGTTAGTTTTGGCGCTTTGATGCTGTCCTTTCTCACACTGGTGTTCCTTCCTGTCTTTTTTCCTCTTCTGCTTCTCGCCTTCTCTTTTTCTACCTTCCCTTCTTTCTGTCTCCCAGATCTGAAAGATTTTCAGAACAATAAACATAGGTACTTGCTAGCCTCTGAGAATCAACGCCCTGGCAATTTTTCCACAGCATCCATGGGGTCCCTTACTTCATCTCCATCTTCATGCTCACTTAGTAGTCAGGTGGGCTTCACATCTGTGACCAGTATTCAAGAGCGGATCATGTCTACACCTGGAGGGGAGGAAGCCATTGAACGTCTGAAGGTGAGTCTAAAGATTGAATGCAAAGCACTTTATGTCATTCCAGAAAGCAGAACTAGGACTGAGTGAACATCACAGAAATTTTGGCTTAGCACATGGAGATGCTAACAGTTAGAAGTACCATGAAAATGAAATGATTTGTTTTTTAAGTTAATTTTTTTTTTTATCAAAATGTTTGAGTTTGACTTGGCCAGAGATGGAAAGGTCATAAGTTAGCCATGCAAAATAACTGATGAGTAGAGACTTAGAATAATTTGGGGGTAATTTATAAGTCAACGTAAAGATGCTTGTTAGAAATTTAGTTTTAAAGCCAGACATGGTACATGAGCCTGTTGACTCTGTGTTGAGGAGATGGAGAAAGGAAGACAAGGAGCTCAAGGTCATTCTGGCTACAGAGTGAGTTTGAGGCCAGCCAAGGCAATATGAAACTCTTTCTAAAGTAGTAATAGCCAGGCGGTGGTGGTGCACGCCTTTAATCCCAGCACTTGGGAGGCAGAGGCAGGCAGATCTCAGTGAGTTCGAGGCCAGCCTGGTCTCCAAAGCGAGTTCCAGGAAAGGCGCAAAGCTACACAGAGAAACCCTGTCTCGAAAAAAAACAAAAAAAAAAAATAAATAAATAAAATAAAGTAGTAATAATTTCGTTTTAAATGAAAGAACTAGTTGGAAATATAGTAATATCGGGTTTATTAGGTTGCATGAAATTATGCCTTCTAGAAGTCCTCTCAAAGCCTTTAGTTATGGAAGAAGCAGGCTTTCTCCTGCAGTCTGGTTCACCTGGGGTCCCTGGGCCATGGTGTTGCACATTTGCAAATTGCCTACTCTATTGGTTACTTGTTGGAACCAAATACCTGAGGAGAAGCAACTTACTTTATGTCATGGTTTGAGGTTAGTCTACAGAGAAGGCGTGGCAGTACTCAGCTACTTTCTCCTTTCCCCTCTTTATTTATTTCCCACATTCATGGTGGGATTTCTCTCTTAGTTCAGTTTCCCTGGCAGTACTCTCACAGACACAGTCAGACATGTATCTTATTTTAAATCCAGTTAAGTTGATGAACCATTGCATTATCCCTGACTCCCAGCTCTGTGGATGGAGGGTTCTTTAGCTGGTTGCCGGCTGTACCTGCTTCTCTCTTGTCTCTGTGTGGATGTGAAAGTCGAGAGCAGTGCTTGTCATATTCCTTTCAGTGACTACAATGAGAGCAGACAGGTGTCATCTCTGGTGCTGAGAACAGTTGCCAGCATTCTTGCCAGCCATCAGACTGCATCAGGAGCATCATGTTTTCTCTTTTTTGCTTACTACCTCCAGGGATATTGTTTCCCTCTACCTTTTGGCCTTTGTGTTCAAGAGTACCAGGGTGGGGGAAACTCACTTAGAACCAATCAGGGATCCTCTTCACCATCATCAGTATCCCCCATTACAAATTGCTGCCCATCCAAAGACAATTGAGAGCAGTGGTACTCTAATAGGTAAAGGTTAAGAAAGAAAGGGCCAGCGGTGGTTGTGCACGCTTTTAATCCCAGCACTCAGGAGACAGAGGCAGGCGGATCTCTGCGAGTTAGATGCCAGCCTGTCTACAAAGTGAATTCCAGGACAGCCAGTGCTACACAGAGAAACCCTGTTTCGAAAAGGCAGACTAGCTTGTTGAACATCTTCACAACTGAAAGTGAATCAGTGTCAGATGCTTTCATTTTAGATTTTAGGTGAAGGTGTAACAGATTTTATATGAAGTGGGCTTCAGAGTTTTCTTTCTTATCATCCCATCTTTCCCCTTGGCATTTTCCTTACTTCAGAAAGAAGGTGATTCCAGAAATAAAACCAATGCTTTTGTGTTGATTCAGAAAGTAAGTGAAGTTCTAAAATGCCTAGCAAAAGGAGAGGAAGGAGAAATCTTTCAGGGTTGCAATGTGCAGGGTGATCTCTGCTGTTGTAAAATTGACTTGGAAGCTTTCCTATAGACTTTATTGAATGTTCTGTGTGGGAAAGTGTATTCATTCACAAATTTTCTCGTAAGTAGAGGTCAGTGATCATATTGCCAGGAGGACTCTGGCAGTTGGGATAAGTCAAACTTCCCTCTTACTATTTTATATCAAATGTTCGCTTTGGGGAGTTTGAATCTTAACTGTTATTATATTGTGCCTTACTGCACAAACAAGATTACCTTTTTTCTCCTCTGGTGTAAAGGAGAAATTTCTTTCTGGCTGCCAGCTAGAACCAACTGAAAATAATGCCACATGTTAAGTGTTAAGACAATAACTAGGTTTTTTAAGAATTAGGTCACCCAGTGTCTTCCAAATGGCTTCTAGGGAATAATGCTGTCATTATTCAAGGAACTCTCCCCTCAGCTGCCTAATCTCATGAAAACAAAGCTGTAACACGTTAAGCAGCAAATAAATTGCCCTCTTAATTTTCCCTGAAAAAACATAAATAAAATATTTTTTTCCCTTGCTTTATTCTAGAGTGCAAATGGCTCCTTTACAGCTTTGTGTTCGGTGTCATGCAGTAGTTCACTGAGGCATAAGCGCCTTAGTTCTGCTCTTATTTTGTGAATGGTGAGAATTCCTTTGGGACAGACCTGCATTTTAATGATGCAGGCAGAGAACATCTTTCGTCCAGAGTGTGGGACAGCAGTTGTACAATACAAACACTTGAGAATGTCTTAGGAGCTGCATTCCTAAGCCATGACACTGCAAGAGAAAAATACTGCAGTGGGAAACAGCGACAGTGGAGGCTAATTCATCTTCCTAACGGTTTATTTGCCTTTGTTTCTCTGTATCTTTAACTATAGACCAGTGTTCATCACTGCTGTTAACGTAGGTGCTGCTACTTCTTTCTCCATTAAATAGCCTATTTCCATATGTAATGTTATTATCTCAATTCCTCTATAAACCTCACTGGCAAGAAGAAAAAAAAGATAGTGGTATGTAATTTTTCTTTAAAGCCACAATTTAAACTGAACTGAAATCTCTGTGTGTTTGATTTGGTCTTTTTTCTCAGTAAAGTTTTAAGCATGCAGCTATAGCCACTGGCTCTGATATTTTTAGACTGGCATCAAAGTCAGTACTGTGAGTGCCATTGCCCAAACTTAGCCTATAAATATTCATACCATCCGTCACATGAGCAGGCATAGCAAATGCTGTGCTAAGCAGTCTGAGGACCCACACTTGGAGCTCATTCAGAAAGCATGCTGTCCAGTACAGTAAACCCTTAGCTGTCTGATGGCTTCAAGGAATGTTCCATGGAGTAATCATTCAACCTTCTAAATGTTAAAACCTTAACTATCATTTTTGTGTGTGTGTGTAAGTATGTCTGATTTGCCCTATCAAATTTTCTGCCTTCTTATTGAATCATCAAAAAGAAATAAAAAGCTGGGCATGGTGGCACATACCTGTAGTCTTAGCACTTGGAGGGCTGAACCAGGAGGACTAGGTGTCAGGTCTCATGTCTCAAAAAAATGAATGAATGAATAAATGTAAAGAAAGTCAGGAAACCCAGCTCAAGGAGTAGGATGGGCTTAGGTTAATTACATAGTTTTTTTTTTTTTTAATCTGTGAAATGATTGTGTAATAAATGGTTACTTAGGCTTTGCTAACACTAAAGGTTTGCTAGTGTGCCACTCAATTGACATTTTCTTTAGGCTGTCCTTGGAGCTTTTTTCAGACAATGAATTTTTAAACATTATAAATATTATAACTTGAAGCCATGATTTAAAAAAAGAAGAAAGTGCCTTGCATTTTTGGATGTTAATATTACCCTTCCTGTCTTGTGCGCACACACATGGATTCACTATTTGCCTATTTCTATTAGGATTTGGGAGATCTTTGTGTCTGAGGTTTACTTAGTTTTAGACTTCATATTTATGATTCCTACCTTATCAAAAAGAAAAAGAGCCATCACTTTGTTTTCAAAGGGTATTATGTGTCTTATGCTTTCCTTGCTGAATATGGTATGTTAAGACTCTTCCACTTCAACCTGTGCATCCTTCCATAGGAATCAGAGAAGATCATTGCTGAGTTGAATGAAACCTGGGAAGAGAAACTTCGTAAAACAGAGGCCATCAGAATGGAAAGGTTGGGAGATAAAAATCTGGGATTCTACTAAGTTTTCTGGGAAGTCTGAGTTACTTTTGTAATAAGATGAAATAGAATGCAAAATAAAGAACTCTCTCCCCACCTAAAATACAACACAAAATAAATATACAGGGGAAGTTGTATCCAATAACATTTAAACTTTGAAGTGAAAGCTACACATTTAGAGAGTCTCTAATGCAGTGGTTCTCAACCTGTGGGTCATGACCCCTTTGGGAGTTAAATGACCCTTTAACAGGGATCACATATCAGATATTTACATTATGATTCATAACAGTAGCAAATTTACAGTTATAAAGTAGCAACAAAAATAATTTTATGGTTGGGGGTCACCACAACATGAGGGACTGTATTAAAAGGATGCAGCATTAGGAAGGTTGAGAACCAGTGTTCTAGGGAGTCATGTGCTTAATAGTTTCCACACTTAAATGTTGCTTTCGATTGAGAAAAATCTACCAAATAAAGGAGATTTTTCATTTGTAAAAAGTAGACTTTGCTTGGCAGAGGCCCATATGCAAAGAGCTGTTCTAACTCTGTCTTTTCAAGTTATTTCATCTAGAACCTTTTGGGTAAAAGGTATAGTTTAGGTTGCAAACTTTTAAAATTCTTGTTCTGTCTATACTATTGGAATAAATGCACACTTTTTTTTTAAAGTCAGTTCCTATCTTCCATCTTTATGAAAATGAGAGCAAAATAAATGAGCTTTGATGTACTATCAGTAAACGTAACAAAGAATTTTCTTACTTACATTAGATTTTTTTTTAAACTAGAATTATCTGGCAGGCAAGATGTCTCAGCGTGTAAAGGCACTTTCTGCTCAAGCCTGCTTACCTGAATTTGATCCCTGAGCCCCACTTAAAGGTGGAAGAAGAGAATCAATTCCACGAAGTTCTCCACATTAGGCACACACATGTACACACACATACCAGGCAAAAAACAAACAAAAATTAAAAGAAAACCAAAAACCATCCTAGAATTACTCTACCAAAATGGGGAGGAAGGGGTATGGGAACATAACATTTGAGAAAAATCACATTTACAGACTATATTTCATATACCTAAGCCCCTACCTTTCTACTCACTCCTGTATTAAATCTGTGCTTCACTGTGTTAAAACCAGAGCACCAACCCCCAAGTTACTTTCATTGCTTTCTTAGATTCTGGGGAAATTGTTTTTTTTGAAATTGGATGCAACTCAAGGAGTATAACCTTTCAAAATTCTTACCTGGATGAACAGAACTTTAGCATGGGAATATTCTTTGACTTAATATGAACATTGTTTCTCTTAAAAATAAGTTCTCATTAGTGATGAGCATATCATTCTGTGTCTCCCTTGCCAGCTTTAGATAGAGCCAACTGTTTTGCTTTGTCCATCTGGTTTCCTAGTTCTTTGGAAACTAACTGAATTGATGTTTTGGTATTGGTATTCTGATTTACTCAGGGGTTTGTTTTGGTTTCTTTTTTCTTTTTTCTAGAGAAGCTTTGTTGGCTGAGATGGGAGTTGCCATACGGGAGGATGGAGGAACACTTGGTGTTTTCTCACCTAAAAAGGTAGGAAGCCATGTTATAAAACTCACGCAAACAAAACATTTTGTCTTTATAAACCTCTTCATGTCTTTCTGATAGAGCTGTTTTTTTATCTAGATCCTTAGCTTAACTTCAGATATTTCTGCTTTCATCTTACAGTACAAGGGCAACCTAGTTGTAAAATGATTATAGTGTTGTTTACAAAAGATAAAACCCAGGGCAGTGAGTCTATTTAAGCATCTTTCTGTTGGTCCTCTTACCTTCCTGACCTGGCTGTAGCACCAGTTGCTTTAGTCATGTTCCTTTTTAATGTCAGGTGCTTGCCTAGCTTGCAATTAGCCCTGGGCTTGATCTCTATTTAGTACCATACATTTTGGGAAGGGTGCCACATGCCTATAATCCTAGTGTTTAGGAGTTGGGGCAGTAGTCATCAGCTCTGCTCTGTAACGTCTGGGAACCATTTTCAGCTGTTGAGGTTTGTGAGCAATAGTATTGGCCCATGATTTCTATTACAACTACTTCTATTAGTAAGCAATTTCAGTCCTTACCCTCTAGATGCCTCTGCTCCCTTTTCAGCATGCTTTTTTTTTTTTTTTTTAAAGACGTGATTAGATTAGTCACTTTCCTACTAATGTAACCATAGTTGTAGAATAGTTAGGGATCTTTTAGTTCATTGGACTGATCACATGTCTTGTGTGTTCTTTTTGACTTGAGTTGCTTGTTAGTGTTGGATACTAGAATACCTTATTAAATAATGGTTTGTGTGCTTTTTTATATGACAATCGTAGAGCATGTATTAATAATGTACCAAGCATATATGTCACCACTGATAACTTCCTTCAAGGTTCTGAGTATATCTCTGTGGTACCCTACCTTGTATATGGCCTACTACTGTATTATTAACAAGTATCTATGTGCATAGATTGTGTTCTGGGTTAAAATACGAGGCCAGGGTGTTTTGAGTTGGCATTTTTACTTGATGTGAACCAGTGTTTTTATGATTTTTTTTGTGAGGATTCTTTTGCTTACTTTTTTTTTTTTTTTATCATAGTCACAAAACTGTCTTACAAATTCCAATATGTTATTTTCAACAGAAAACATTGATTTAGCTGGGTATAATGGCACACACCTACAATCACAGCACTTAGGAGGGGAATGCAGGAAGATCAGAGTTCAGCATCTGCTTTATAATAAATTCAGAACCAACCTAAATCATACACAAGAAGAAAAGGGCTGGAGAGAAGGCTCAGCAGTTAAGAGCACTTGCTGTTTTTCCAGAGGACCCTACTTTGGTTTCTGGCACCCAAGTTGGGAGGCTAAAAACTGCCTGTAACTCCAGCTCTAAGGAATCCAAAGCCCTCTTCTGATCTTGTGGGTACCTCTCCCCTCCCCCTCACACAAACCAATGAAAATAAATCTTTTAAAAAAAAGAAGAAATTAAGCCAAGCATGGTGGTGCACACCTTTAGTCCCATCACTTGCCAGCACATGGAAGGCAGAGGCAGGCAGATCTCTGTGAGTTGAAGGCCAACCTAGTCTACAGAGTGAGTTCCAAGACAGCCAGATCTACACAGAGAAACCCTGTCTTGGAAAAGCCCCCCCCCCCCCCCCAAAAAAAAGTTGATTTAAAGATTTAGAGATTTATAGAACATCAACAATTACATGTTTATTTGAAGTTGAGTCATTTTTACCTTAATGATGTATTTATTCATACATATTACCCACATTGAAGAGATTTTAGTAGTTACAGTTTTGATAGAGTTTAGATTATGCTTTTGCATACCTCTAAAAGTTTTTCTTTTTTTTGAGAGGGTCTCATATATCCCACGTGGATTAAGACTCACTATGTAACAGACGATTACTTTGAACTTCTGATCCCCCTGACTCTAACTCTTAAGCAATGGGACTGTAGGTGTGTGGCACCCTTTCCCCATATATATGGTAGCAGAGATCAAACCCAGGGCTAATTGCCTGCAAAGCAAGCCCTCTACCAACTGTGCTACAGCCACAACCCTTAACAAGTTTGCATGAGGTTGTGTGTGTGTGTATTAAGAATTGTAACTCACTAATAGAATACTTTTCTACTACGTATAGACCTGGGTTCTATCTTTAGCACTGGGAAAAAGCAAAGAAATAAACAATAAAACTTACAAAAATAGTTGATATTTAACCAGGTGTGGTGGCACTTCGGAGGCATAGTCATGTGGATCTCTGAGTTCAAGACTAGCCTGGTCTACATAGTGAGTTTCAGGACAGCCAGGGACACACAAAGAAAATATCAGATAACATAAAATAAGTAAAAATGTGATATTTATAAGAATTTAAAATAACCCAGACAATTGTAATGTAAACAGCATAAAATTACAGGCTGAACTCTCTACTTTCAAAGATTTTTTCTTGCTTTAATTTTCTAGACTTTCTCAGGAAAGGGAAAGAAACACTGTAGACCACATAGAGACTGTTGCTGAAACTCCCTTTTTTTTTCCATAATTTTTTAAAAAATTTATGTGCATTCGTGTTTTTTGTTGTTGTTGGGTTTTTTTGTTTTTTTGTTTTTTTGGTTTTTTTTTTTTTTGGTTTTTCGAGACAGGGTTTCCCTGTGTAGCTTTGCACCTTTACTGGAACTCACTCTGTAGCCCAGGCTGGCCTCCAATTCACAGAGATCCTCCTGCCTCTGCCTCCCAAGTGCTGGGATTAAAAGCATGTGCCACCACTGCCTGGCTGTGCATTCGTGTTTTGCATGCATGTATGTCTATGTGAAGGTGTTAGATCCTGGAGTTACAGACACTTGTGAGCTGCCATGTGGGTGTTACACTTGAACCCAGGTCCTCTAGAAGAGCAGTCAGTGCTCTTAACCACTGAGCCTTCTCTCCAGCCTAAGACTCCCTTTTCTTAGTTCCCTAATGAGACTTTAAAAAAATACTGCCCATTAGCTGGGCAGTGGTGGCACACGCCTTTGATCCCAGCACTGGGGAAGCAGAGGCAGGCTGATCTCTGAGGCTAGCCTGGGTCTACAGAGAAAGTTTCAAGACAGCCAGGGTTACCCAGAGAAACCTTGTCTCACAAAAACAAACAAACAAACAAACAAACAAACAGAAAGAATGCTGCCCATTGAGGGCTTTGACTTTTTCAGAGCAGCCTAGTTCTTCCATCAGAAAAGTAGAAGCTGTAAAGATGCAGACATCTCTTTAATTCCTTTTAGACCACCCTTGGCAGTCCCTTTTCCTTACCACTCAGCTGACCTTTCTTCCATTCTTCCATATTTGCTGGCACTGTCTTGAGTAGAGGTTGGCCCCGAGACCATGTGACTTATTTTTGGATTCCAATGAAGGCTTTTCACCAGAAAATTTTTTAAGATTTTAGGAATACTAGTGTTAGATGAAGAATACTTTTAGAAGATGTTTATGTTGTTGGCTATTAGTAACTATAATTTTTTTTTGGTAAGGTAAATACTAGTAAAGACAATAGCTAGGGACATGAAAATTATAGTGGGGGAACTTCAAGAGTATTAGTATTTTAATAAAAAATAGAAAATCCGTTTTAAGAATTTTGGTTTCTTTCGAGACAGGGTTTCTCCATGTATCCCTGGCTGTCCTGAGACTCACTCTGTAGACCAGGCTAGCCTGGAACTCAGAGATTCGCCTGCCTCTACCTCCCAAGTGCTGAGAATAAAGGTGTGCACCACTACCACCCAGCTGTTTTAAAACTTTTAATCTAGGTATTTACAAAAATTGTATTTAACTCATCCAAAAATTGGTCTGTTTTCATTTTGCCTTTGTGTTCACAATGCTTTGTCCTTATGAAGACCTGGGCCTTGGCTCAAGTAAAGGTGCTTGCCACTAAGCCAGACAACCTGAGTTTGAACCCCAGAACCTACAAGGTAGAAGGATAGAACAACTTTCCTCAAGTTGTCCTCTAATTCCCATATGCCTTTTGTGACACACATGTATGCACACACTTACAGCACACATATATACATACATACAAAACAAATGTTTGTTAAAAAACACAGTCAACTTGGTGTTAGAGATGGCTCAGTGACTATGAACATCTGCTGTTCTTCAGAGGACCCTAGTTTGGTTCCTGCACACGTGCTGAGCAGCTCACAACTGCCTGTAACTAGGCAGTGATTCTCAAGGTCTCCGCCCTTGGGGAGGTTGACTGACCCTTTTCAGGGGTCACCTCAGACCATCGGAAAACACGGATGTTTACATTATGAATCATAATAGTAGCAAAATTATAGTATAAATAGCAACGAAAATAGTTTTATGTTTGGGGGTCACTACAACATGAACTGTACTAAAGGGTTGTAGCATTAGAAGGTTGAGAACCTCTGCTGTAGAGGATCTGATGCCCTCTTACAACCCCACCTATATTAATATTCTCTTTCTCTCTCTGTCACACACACACACATACTTAACTTAAAAACAGAAAAGTGAGTGTTTTAAATTTTAGAGCTCATGTTCTTTTTTTATTTTATTTTATGTGTCTGTTTTGCTTGTATGTATGTTCTGAGTGCCAAGTGCATGCATGCCTGGTGTCCATGGGCCAAAAGAGATCATCAGATCCACTGGAACAGGTGTTGCAGATGCTTGTGAGCACCCAAGTCGGCACTGAGTTCTCTGGAGGAACAAACAGTTGTCTTATCTACTGAGCTATGTCTCCGGCCCCATTTTTATTTTATTTTATTTTTTGAAACAGGGTCTCACTATGTAGTCCTGACTGGCCTGAAACTCTGTGTAGATCAGGCCAGCCTTGAGAATTCACCTGTCTCTTTCTTCAGAGTGCTAGGATTAAAGGTGTGTGACACCATGCCCAGCAGAACTCATGTTCTTAAACATGATGTGTTGGTCTAATTTGAGAAGGCCTATAGAGCATGCTTCTTTTATTTTATTTTCATTTTTATTTATTTATTTTTTTCTATTATCAGCTTGATACAGTACAAATTCTTATCCTGATAATGAAATGTTTCATTGAGGCTTGCCTGGTGATTGAGTAAAACCAGAATTTATTATAAGCCACAGTCATCCTAGGGTCCCCCCTGCTATATAGCCTCCCTGGTTCTGTGGGTTGCAGTCTGATTGTTCTTTGCTTTATATCTAGTATCCACTTATGAATGAGTACATACCATGTTTGTCCTTCTGGGTCTGGGTTACCTCACTCAGGATGGTATTTTCTACTTCCATCCATTTGCCTGCATGCTTCTTTTATTAATTACAGAATTACACCTAGGACTTTTATTGATCCTTCCCTTCAGGTGCTCTGGGGAGTCTGAGAAGCTTTTAGACCTCCTGTTGCCACCGCTGTCTCATGGTTTCTTGCCCCAAACTGATAATCTATAACCTTTTTCAGACTCCACATCTTGTTAACCTCAATGAAGACCCACTAATGTCGGAGTGTCTGCTTTATTATATCAAAGATGGGATTACAAGGTATATTTGCTTCTAGTTTGAGTCATTTTATATTTTCTTTTCTTCTAGATAATTGATAACTAAAGGGAAATGTCCAAAAAAATTATAATAATTTGCTATTTCTCCTTTCTGGAATGATTATGAGTTACCTTCTCTCCTCTTCCAAGTTGTAAGTGGAACTAGTTAGCACATAACTACCTCTAGAAGAACCTGAATGAAAATTACCCTATAATAACACAGATGAGTTCATTAGAGAACTTGGTTTGCCCTGTTTTGTTATGGTGTGTAAATTACATCAGTGTGTTGATCATGTAAGAAGGTTCATCATCCTTGAGAATAGAGTTTGTAGTTGAAAGTGTCTGGTATAAAGTAGTGCATTGCTATATATATCAAAGGATGTTATTTGGGAGAAAGCAGTTCATTGTTTATAAGTGCTTTTTGTGTCTGAATTTCCCTGGGAAACACTCTCCCTTGTGTTCAGGGTTGGCCAAGCAGATGCTGAGCGGCGCCAGGACATAGTGCTGAGTGGGGCTCACATTAAAGAAGAGCATTGTATCTTTCGGAGTGAGAGAAACAACTCTGGTGAAGGTGAGGGTTGTGTGTTTTTATTTCTCAAGCACCTTTTTCCTCTGAGTATTCGAAATCCTTCAGGCTTGGGAGTCCCTATGTCTGTTAGTGGAATTTTTTTTGTCAATAAAATATTGAAAAACAGAGAAACCTGGGATGTTTATAAATGCAAGGACAGACATAGCTACTTAACATGAAAACAACAGCATGAACAAAAGGAGCCCTTTTGTTACTGCCAAGAACTGAGCAGGATGTAGGCAATTAGGTTTGGTCTTGAATGTTAACTATTTAGTAGAAAAGTAAGAGAAAAGTAACTATTCTAGATAATGGGAGAATTGAAAAACCTTTAATATTAGCCCAGTAGAGTTCATGTTTATCTTAAAGGGAAGAAAAAGTCAATCTTGTGTGAGTCCCCGCCACAGCCCCGTTTGTTAACCGGACAGCAGCTGGCTAATGGCCTTTTTGTGCTAGATAGACACTACCTTCTTCACTCTCCACCAAAATGTTAGCTTTATTTGTGTATCATACTTAAGATTTCTGCTGTATCATATTTTGTCAGAATTAATATTTTCTATCTTCTTTTAAGGCTTATGATATTTAATTAAATGTTTTTATCCAAGCCACAGCTCCCAATAGCTTCCTATACTGAAATTAGTTCTGGTATCTTGAAACAAACAAACAAAAACAGCCAAACCCCACACAAACAAACGAAAAACGGCCTAGTAGACACTTTAGTTGTTGGTTGCAAGTGTCTATTCTAGTTACTGTGAGTCCTGACAGTGAACTACTTTTTATTGTTTGATTGCACTAGTTTATGATAATAACATCAGTCTGTATTCTTCCTAGTTATCGTGACTCTAGAGCCTTGTGAGCGCTCAGAGACCTATGTGAATGGCAAGAGGGTGGCCCAGCCTGTCCAGCTGCGCTCAGGTGAGCCTGAGAGGTCTCAAGTCTTCAGCAATGTACATATGGCTTGTGGGGGCAACTCAGACTTCGGCTCTTTATTTAAAGGCGAAAGTTACCCTAGAATTCATGTTTTTGTAAAACTATAAATCTTGCTTTTGTTGTTGTTTGCTTGTTGTTTGTTTTTGTTGTTGTTGAGACAGGGTCTCACTAAGTAGCCCTGGTTGACCTGGAATTCACTGTGTAGACCATGTTGGCCTCACAGAGATTTTCCTGTCTATGCTTTCTGAGTGCTGGGATTAAATAGGTGGACCATCACACCCAGCCGAGTATCTGTCTTCTTATATTACGAGAGTGAAATTATATTTCTTTTTTTGAGATAGGTTTTCTGTGTAGCTTGGGATGGCCTCAAAGTTGTAAACCTCTTGCCTTGGCCTCCTGAGTGCTAGGATTGTAGGCATACACCACTTTGCCTGGTAAGACATTTGAAAAACCAGACCCTATTCCTTAAAAATTGATTCCTTGGAACTGGGTCTGTAGCTGAGTGCTAAAGCACATTTGCTGACATATACAGGGCCTGGATTTGACTCACAGCACTGCAAAACAAATTCTTATCCCTATTTCTGTTTTGTTCTAGGGAACCGTATTATCATGGGTAAAAACCACGTTTTTCGTTTCAATCACCCTGAACAAGCACGAGCTGAGCGGGAGAAGACTCCCTCTGCTGAGACCCCCTCTGAGCCTGTGGACTGGACATTTGCACAGAGAGAGCTTCTCGAAAAACAAGGAATTGATATGAAACAGGAGATGGAAAAAAGGTGATTCATTAGTGTTAGGCAGCCTGTGTGATGCTTCGACATGTGTAATAGCTTTTACACCAACAGCTTGGCGATTTCACAACTTAATCTTTTTTGGTATTTTGTTTCTGTTGTTTGTTTTGCTTCTAGGCTGCAGGAAATGGAGATCCTATACAAAAAGGAGAAGGAGGAAGCTGATCTTCTTCTGGAGCAGCAGAGACTGGTAGGAGTCTGTCCTGAATCTGCAGCTATTGGGAAGGGCATTTGCTCTCACACCTGCTAGCAGGCTCTCATTGGTACCACCCATTCACTGTCATTGCTTAATGAACTGTCATATATCTTCTGGCAATCTTAGTCTGGGAAAACATCTATCTATAGAGGTACTATTTTGTACCTTTTATTTCTTAAAATTAGATCATCTGTCACAGTCAAGAGCTTTTTGAAGAAATAATGAGAGCTTTTATGATACCTTTGCCCTTTGGTAGTGCTTTTTGAGTATGTTCCAACAGTGGTCTTTTGAATGATAATAACTGAATTTTGAATTTGGTGGGAGTTTGCCTTGGTTTTGTTTCTGGCCACTTGATAGTACTAATTCTCTACTCTTAGGCTGACATGGGGATTGTTCTTGTGCTGGGCAGATTGGTTTTTTTTGTTTGTTTGTTTTGTTTTTTGTTTTCCAAGTTAAACTGTGTCTAAAAGTGTTGCTGCACAATTGCATGTTTTAATCCTTTTCTGTTCCCCTGCATGGAGTCTGAATTCTCAGTAAGGTTCTCAGTGGCTTTTGTGGTAATAGTGTAGTGGGGAGCTGCACACCCATCTCAGACAGGAGATGCTCCTGACTCTGGGTTGAGAAAAGTTTTGGATAAGCAGTTGGAAAGTCAGTTGACCATGCTAGCTATAATGGGTTGGGATTTTATGATGATAATTGGTTTCCCAGGTTTTATAAAAATGTCTTATGAATAAATTCTTCTTAGTAGATTTTAATATTAAATCCAGCCATAAAGCCCTGATAGTAAGAAGTTCCATAATGCTGGATGTTGTGGTACATGCCTTCAATCCCAGCACTTGGGAGGCCGAGGCAGGAGGATCTCTAAGTTCATGGCCAGCCTTGTCTTAGTGAATTCCAGGACTTCCAGAGCTACAACAAGGGGCACTAATAAGAAATCAGGGAGAAGGATCCTGGATTCTTCCCTTAACATGAAATACAACATATAAGTTACAGCCTTATGCTACACTCCGTTCTGTTGGAGAACTATTGCATTGCGGTCTGTGAAAGCCAAGATAGTAAGTAAAAGCAGCCTTTATCAGAGCACTTGGTTCTTGGCAGTAGGTTAAACCAGCTAATTTATTATCTTTAAAATTATAGTGAAGCCCTTAAAAATATGGATTGGAAGAATAAATTGTTTGGAACAAGATAATATCAATGTTACAGGGAAAGTATGTCTAGTAGCTTACTTGGCTTTGGCGTTAATGGTTAGAGCTTGAAAGGTTTGTGACACATGAAGGAGTTTTTTTATCATAATTATGTAGTATAACCTAATAACATTCCTGTGATGGTCTGTGAGACATCAAAGAGTAAGGGTGTAATTAAGCACTATTTATTAACAGTAGTGTCTCATATTTGAATGTATGTTGCTTTGTAATTTACAAAGAGCTTTAACATCTATCATTTTACTTGATCCTTGCACCAGCTCTGTTTGGTAGATGTGTATATAAATGAAATATATAGCATTGCCCTTAGTTTATAGTTAAGGCTGAAAACAATGTTGTTGTACATACATACATTTTAAAAATTTGCTTCAGTAGTGGCCTTACATACCTTCTAAATCATGTATTTAAACCTTAAACTTGAGTCTTCTAATTTACGTCAGTGCCTCTCAATCACTGGGAATCCTTTTAAAATATAGGTAGTGATTGAGGTCTGTGGGTGGGATCTGCAATTCTGAGTTTCTCAGAAGTTCCCAGGTGATAATGATGCCAGTGGCCTTGGGAACACACTTGAGTAAGTAGGCATTAAATAATAACTGTGTCTCCTGCTTTCCATCGCCAAAAGTTGATGATTGTTTTATGCCTTGACATAAAAACCCTGATGGAGCCCAACATGGTGTTGCACAACTGAAATCCAGTTACTCCAAGGCTGAGGCAAGAGGAGCACGAGTTTATAGTAAAGTTTGCATAGCTCAGCAAGACACTGCCACCTACAGATAACTGTAGTTCAGGGGACAGGGATTACCTAGCCTACAAGGGCTCTGGGTTTAGTCCTGAGGAGAGAAAGGAAGGCAGGGAGGAAAGGAGAAAGAAATACTAATAAAGGGAAAGTAAATTGTCTTTAAGATATGTTTAATGTTGGTTTTTCGGGGGACAGCCATAGTCTGCAAGTAATGAGGTTCTAGCTGTCATTTGTTCTGTTTATTCTAATGGTAAGCTAGGGTAGTAAGAGAAGCTTCCTAATAGCAAGGAAGTTGCTTTCCATTCAAAAGTCTAGCTGTCTTCTACTGAAGTTTCTTAACCTTGAGAGGAACTGATATCCAACACTTTCAACCTAAAAATTATTTACCAGTAATGATACTGGTGGAAAATGTGGTTTTTATGATTCTGTATCGGGTAACCATATGTGCCCTAGAAAGATTCAGAGGATATGAAGTAATACTGTTTTCACTAAATATTTATTAAAATACTCATAAATTATTTTTGGATAACAATTATCATCAAATATTTAGTACTATAATTTTTAACATAGTGACATTAAAAATTGGAATTCAGAGTCCACAGGATGGCTCCGTGGGTAAAGGTGCTTGCCATCAAACTTAGTGAGCTGAATTTCATCTCTGGAACCCACATGGTGGGAGGAGAAAATTGATTCCTGCCAGTGTTCTCTGACACCCACACATGCACCGTGGCATGAACAGCCTTTCAGATGCACACAATACATGTACATGCATGCACATATATATTTCTTAAGCTTCTAAAATTGGAATTCATGAATTTCTGTAATGCTGGCTCCCCAAATTCACTCACTCTTGTTTCTGAGCATTCCCTTACAGTCAGTGCTCTTGTACACCTGTGTGTCTGTCTTCCTTGCACTTTCACACTTTTCCTGTCTCTTCTCTCTCTCATTTGCATATATTTATTCACTTGTAGACTTTTCAGCAGGCCAACTATGCACTTGAAATATATAATATATAATATATAATATATAATGAAAGTGGATGAGTCTTCCACTTAGTGACGGGAAAATTATGACTGCTTGATTTTAATTTTTTGAATTTATATAGACTATTATATTTCTTTTAGAGTTTAAAGGTATTTTTTATTTCTCAAGTCTGACACTTAAGTAATGATTAGAATAGTTGTCATTTCCTAAATTCAGTAATATTCGCTTTATCCCTAAGCAGTTATAAAAGAAAAAAGTGATAGTTCTGTGGAAGATCAAAGGCAATTTGTGTTCTATAAAACTGAGTTTAAGCCGTGTGGCACATGCCTTTAATCCCAGCCCTCGGGAGGCAGAGGCAGGCAGATCTCTGTGAGTTCGAGACCAGCCTGGTTTACAGAGTGAGATCCAGGACAGGCGCCAAAACTACACAGAGAAACCCTGTCTTGAAACCCGCCCCCCCAAAAAAAAACAAACCCAAACTGAGTTTATATATATATTTGGGGTAAAGCACTCAAGCCAGACATGCTTTTTACTCTTCTCTATTGATGTGTTGAGGTTGGGAAGATGGCTCCCTCAGTAAAGTGCTGCTGCACAGCATAAAGACCTGAGTTCAGACCCTAGCCTCGTGAGGGGCAGAGACAGATAGTTCTGTTTCTCAGACTCACTGGCTGGCCAGCCTACCTGAACTCATGAGCTCAGAGAATTCACCTTGCACCTTCACACATGTAAAACACACACACACACACACACACACACACACACACACACACACACACGATTAGCCTTCTGCTTTTCTCATTTGTGGTGCTGGGGATTGAGCCTGGGGCCTTGCCTATGTTAGGAAAGCACTCTGTCACTAAAATATACTGAAAACTCCCACCACTCTGCTTTTTTAAACTAAAAAGGAGAGGAGGGGACAAGAGGATGGCACAATGAGTAAAATATTTGCTCTGCAAGCCCGAGGACTTCTTGTGTATGCATCCCCAGCACACATGTAAAACCCAGGCATCGAGGCATGTATCTATGTAAACTGGGGGAGGAGAGCCAGGTGGATTCTGGGGTCTCATAGCCACCCAGTTTAGTCCAAATGGTCTCATTGGGCACCAGGCATGCGTATGGTACACGGACATACATGAAACTGTCGTAAAGCCGGTTCACTATTTTAAGCCTAAGTTTAATTTTTTTCCTTGCTTTTGAAAAGAAATAATGCTGCAGCTCAGATGACTGAAAAGACAGTTGAAGTGCATCCATTATATATATGCAGACTCCATTCTTTGTGTTTATTGGCAGCATTGTCACTTAAAAGTAATAGTCCCCAAGTAGATGTAAATCACATGGGTTTTCTAAGTAGAAAACATGAATTGTTTTGTCTGTAGAATTTTTGTTGGTTGGTTTTTGTTGGGGGACAATCTTATACTAAGCCCAGGTTGTCCTGGAACTTGTAGCAATCATCCAGTCTCAGACTCCCACGTGCTGAGACTATAGGTGTAAGCTCCCAAGCCTAGCTTCTGGAATACTCTGTTATACTAGAGTTGTAGAGTGCTTGCCTAGCATGTACAAGGCCCAAGCCTCCTCTCCCAAGGAAACAGGTTTAAAATACACTATTACTTAGGAATTTTAAAATTATCTTTAATGAAAGACTGTACCTCACTTAGTTAATTTTTATTCTGGTAACGTCTCAAAATTTTAGAGGGAGGTTATTATTGGTTTCATTGTATAAAAAAATAATAATAGCCTGTTATCCTTTTTTATAAATGCTTTGTTCTCAGAATAACAAACCTTAATGTACAAATGAAGTGGATTAATTTACTATGCAAAAGAAAATGGCAAGTCTAGTATATGCTTCTAGAAAGACCAGTTTCAGAATCCTTCCATCCAACAGGAAAGGGAATTTGGTTGATGAGAACCTTGAATGTTCTGCAAAAAGGAGTTCTTAGCACTTTTAACATCATCTCTGTTCGCTTCTTTCTCTACTTCCTATCTAACTTTTTTCTAGGGTTGCTCATTTTAGTAAAGCTAAACCAAACTTGACATCCTGCAGTTTTACTAACCTTTGTTAATCTGCCTGC